ATTTGCTCTCTGGCAATCTCAGATAAGATTCTAGATTTGTCTCCAAAGAGGCAACCCATTCTTTTCTCACAAGAAGCAAGAAAATGTAAGAGTTTATAAAGTAATAATCTGAGGGGTATGTGGAGACAGACAGGCATGCTGCTTGATGGTTCTTGCTAAATCATCTTGCTGAAAATCAACTAAGGTCAGACCCGGAACTCTATTTTCATACCTTTGATGACTAAATGAATCTATGAGGGGCTGTGAAAACTGTAATACGCTGCTCTGCCTGCTTTGCTTGACTTAGCCTTTGCACTGCTGGTCCGTCTGTGAGCGCACCTGCACTCACCAAGGCTGTAAACCCATGAGGGCAGAAACTGCGCCTTTTTTTTTTTTTTTTGAGACAGAGTTTCGCTCTTGTTACCCAGGCTGGAGTGCAATGGCGCGATCTCGGCTCACCGCAACCTCTGCCTCCTGGGTTCAGGCAATTCTCCTGCCTCAGCCTCCCGAGTAGCTGGGACTACAGGCACGCGCCACCATGCTCAGCTAATTTTTTGTATTTTTAGTAGAGACGGGGTTTCACTATGTTGACCGGGATGGTCTCGATCTCTCGACCTCGTGATCCACCCGCTTCGGCCTCCCAAAGTGCTGGGATTACAGGCTTGAGCCACCGCGCCCGGCCGAAACTGCGCCTTTTTTATTGGTATTCCCCAAATGCATCAAAATGTCTGGGCACCAGTACATGCTGAGAAGTGTTAGAGATGATCATGAGGGTAAGATTTAAGGATCTTGATATAAAAGAACGTTGCATCTGAAAGCCAATGGACGCTCTAGCAATCCCATTGGGAGTTCACACTGCCCTCCAGAAGCTAGGCCAGAGGCCACTGGAGTTGCCTGGTGTGGAAATAGGGCTCGGCTGTGTTTCAGGAGGTGTCCATTGGGAGCCCTGCTCTGGTCTGTTCCAGAACAAATGCTCTGTCCTTGACACCAATACAAGCAGCAGCCTCCCCTGCCACCTGTCAGTGAACCACTGCCAAAGCGTAATTGTACTGGGATGTTGTGAGAGGGAGCCTGATTTAAATAAGGTCCTGGCAGAGCTGGGGGGCCAGAAGTGCCTTCTCATACCTGTTAATGCAGCCTCATTAGAAACAGCAAGAACCTGTGCTGGGAACTGGAAGCATCAGTCTGCCAGAGGGTGATTACCTGAATGATTTACGGCAGCTGCTCTTTGAGATTACGGTGCGGAGGAGTCCGAGTGTGTGCAGCCTTGCACAGCGTGCTGTCTGGTGGAAACTCAGGAGTATGCACAGATCGATTCTCCCCTCTTTCCAGTGGCCAAAACGACTTCCAGTTTCTAAAAACTGCACGGCCATTTAGTCACAGAAGTACCTCCTTTTGATGGCTGACCTTTCGGGGACTCTCACCTTCAAAGCCTCCAGCTGTGTTTAGGTTAGGAATTTAGGTCTTGGCTGAGGGGCCAAAAATTAATAGTAACAAGAAAGAAAGAAAAGAAACAGACCTCAGTGTCTAGTGCATCCAACATTAGCAAGGCCAGCTACACACTTTGCTTTCTGGCAGGACCCTTGCACCCACGTGGTTCAATTATGGGCAGCCCCCTAGTGTGCAGCTATGGAGGAGGAGATGGATACTTTGCTGAAATGTAGTTTTTGGGCGTCTTGGCTATTTCCATGTCTCAAACAACAAACTGACCTATGTCAGGGTGCTGTGCACATCGTAAATAGCTGTTCTGCTCATGTGAGCTATTAATACAATTCCTTTGCTCCTGGAGGCCAGAAAGGAATACCAGCTATAGCAATTCCAACCAGGATACCGTATTTCTTGCCTTGCTTCTTTTATAAGCAATCCTTAAGGATAAATAAGGTTTCTTTTCTGTGTGTGGGCCTTGGGTGTTCAGACTCTCAGGTATGGGGGTTTTCAAATGTACCCGTGTTGGATACATCCCCCTGTCTGGATTAGCAGCTCAGAAACACAGAGACTCAGCTTGGATATTTTGATCTGTAATTCTGTGTGATAGGTAAACCGGCAGAAACTTGAGGGAAGAAGGAAGAAATTAAAGTTGGGCTTTTTTTTTTTTTTTTTCTTTCAGTTTTAGAGGCACTGAGAGCCTGTGGTAGGACACAGGTGGTGGTTTCAATTTTAATCAGAAGGCAAGAGAGTCTCGCCTGGGTAGGTGGCAGATGCATGAACTATATTTGGCTGGCTTAGGCCCTGAGAGAACTGGGGAAAGGACCCTGGAAGAAAATTCTGAAGCTGTAAGTGGGGTGAGCAACCACAGTGTAATTAATCCCCCACTTAGATTGAATGGGTTTAGATTGGGCTTAGACTGAAGTTCCCTTTTAACTGATTGAGAGGTGCTCTGCCAATAGCAAGTGAAATGTGTGTGTCTGCACATGAATATGCATGCAGAGTGCATTGAAGAGGTCTGAATACTCCGTGATGCCTGTAATTATGAAACATGCAATAAAGCACCACACTAATCCCCTCTCGAGCAAGAGTGTTGTTTTTGTTTGCCCCAGACCGCGGCAATCCTGCATGCTATGAGCACAGCTTTTGCTTCCGCAGCACTTTTATGTTGACAAGCCCAAGAGCAGGTGACCCTGGGGAGGCAGATGGCGTCACATTCAAGGGAATCCTTCCAGAAGCCTTCAAGCATAGCTCCGTGAGCAAATGTCAGGCAGGTAAAGTGATACCCACTTGACCCTATAGTGAGTTGAACAAGGTGGGCAAACTGGACGCTGCACACAAAGCGTTTATTTGAAGGAGGACAGGGAGGTGGCTCAAGCTACAGACTACTCAGATTACAGCAGAAGGACTCTCTCCACTTCCAGGAAGCTTTTAGCTCAAGCTGAATTAACCAGGGAATCCAGCAGGTACTGGAGCTCAGGGGAAAGCTTCTCAAGCAACTTCATGGGTCAGCTGGTGAGGAAGGGAGCATTTTCTTCATGAAAAGAAGAAGTTTCTCCATCAGCTGAAAGGAAACACATAAGAGTCAGAAGCAATGGGTGAGGAAAATCGGTAATTCTATCATCATAGCATTACGAGAAAGGCGGCTGTCTCGTGAAAGAATCTGGCCTTTCGAACAAGATAGTTTTGGGTTTCAAATCGTTACTCCATGGTTATTTGCTGTGAGACCTTGGGCCATGACCTAAGCTCTCTGAGGCTTTGTTTCTTGTCTGTAAAATGGGGATCGTGAGGTCGTCTTGGCAGGGTTTGGGGGATAAATGAAAATAATCAAGAGTCAGGACTGTGCTGGCACTCACTAAATGAAATGAAGCACATAGATTCTCAGCGTAACTCACTACTCTTGGTGTTTGTTTAAACCGACTTTGTGTATTTATTCAGATGCTCGTAGGCATCTGAAAAAAAAAAAAAACTGTTGGGAACATCTGGCTTTTATAATCAATAAAAATCAATGCAATAAAAGACAGCTGGAGAGGAGCTGGATGACCTATTTTCCGTTTGAAAGCAGGGCGTGGTTAGATCGCTTCCTTGAGGCTGTCCCGCCTTCTGAATAAAGAGAGGTTACGTTGTTGGAGAGAGCAGGAGACACGGGCTCCTGTCCCAGTGCTGTCTCTGCCTCCTGTGTGATCATGGCAAATCTTTTTCCGTTCTAGGTCTTTGTATTCTCTCGAGTCAGGAGGGGTTTGACTATACAGTCACTAAGCTGTATCTTCTTATTCAACATATGTCAGAGAAGGGGCCTGGCAGGGAAATAAGACATAGAACTATGATACAAAATAAGGGCTTGGGTTTCTGGAAAGAGCTGGCAAGGAAGCTAAGGCCCAAGGCTGATGTATACGCCTTTGGAATTCTTATCTATTTAAAAAAAAAGTGAGTGTTGAGCGTGTGTGTGTGTAATTTCGGCTGACTAACCCAACTGCTATTCCCAACCCCTTGCCTGCCTCCACTATGGAGTCTGGAAAAGCTAGAGTTGCTTTCTCAGCATCCCTTGCAGATAGGTACGGGCAGTGTAAGCAGGTTCTGGTCAATGAGATATAAGGGACAGTTCACTGGAAGCCTCGAAATGTCTTTCCTTCACTGAGAAAAGAAGAGGGCCACTCAAGCAAAAGTTGTTTTGCTGCCGCCTCTTCCCTCCCACTTCTGGTCACCAATGAGCATGCGATGTTTGGATGTGTGGCTGGCACATGTAACCATGGGTGACAAAGATAAAGACAAAAAGCCAATGTTATCATGGCATGTTAGAAAAATGAAAAGAGCTTGAGTCCTTAATGGAAGCTTTGAGCAGCCTAGATCACCTGTTTCCGGGACTCTTAAAAAACGGTTTACACATCTTTGCTACTCAGTGTGGTCTGTGGAGCAGCAATATAGTCATCACCTGGGAGCTCCTTAGAAAGGAAGACTCTCAGACCCCACCCCAGACCTACTGAAGCAGAATCTGCATTTTAAAAAGATGCCCAGCTGGGGTGCCGAGGCTCACACCTGTAATCCCAGCTACTCTGGAGGCTTAGGTGAGAGGATCACTTGAGCCCAGGAGTCTGAGTTGAGACCAGGCTGGGCAACATAGTGAGAAGAGACCTTGTATCAAAAAAAAAAAAAAAAAAAAAAAAAAGCCCAGGGTTTTGAGTGCACATTAGTTTCAGGAGCACTGGTTTATAGCGTCATTAATTAGGTTCTATTACAAGCAACTGAAGCATTCCTAATAACTATTATGTACATCCTAGGTATATGCATATATATCTATATATACATACATAAATATGCATACATATAGAATATGGATTAGTATGTGAATGTGTAATTACATATATTATTTGTATGTGAATAGGAAAATCCTGGAAGGTCATAGCCAGGCTGTGGGAATGGGTACCTATGTGAGACGAAGTCTGAGGTGATTTCTTCTTATCTTAAATTCTTTTTTTCTTTACAATTTTATTTTAACACAACATGACTGTGAATCTTAAATACTTCTATAGTTTGGAAAATATTTTTAAAGCCATGAATATGCATCCCTTGGATAATTGATGCAGGAGAAGCGAGGCTTACCCGCTCTCCTCCCGGTCCAGCAGGGCGTGGTAGGATGCCACATCCTTCTGCAGCTGGCACTTGCGGGCCAGGAGATGCGCGCGCTCCTGCTGCTGCTGCTCAGCTTCAGCGCGGACCTCGCTGAGCTCCGCCTCCAGCCGGCCGACCACAGCGCCCAGATTCTGCAGCTCCATGTCATGCCAGTGCTTGGCATCGTGCAAGGTGTTCTCCAGGCCTCGTTTCTACAAAAGAGCGAACCTGGTCCAGACCCGAGGATGACGGGGCCGGGCCCTAGAAGAGGGAGGTGTGCAGAGCAGTAGCGGGGACTGGTGGTAGCCTGCACTATTCCCCAACTCCGTGGCCGGGACCTTGCCAGTTACGGACGCTGATGGGGGTTATTCTTAGCGGCTCCGTGGGAAAAATAAGGAATCCCATTCAGGTCAGACTGTGGATTAGTCTGATGGAATGATCTTTTTGATGGGAGACAGGGAGAGGGAGGGAGAAAAGGAAAGGGAGTGTGAGGAGAGAGAGGAGGGGGGCAAGAGGGAGAGGGATTGAGAGGGACAAATGAGAGGCAGCTTGCTAGGTGTTTCTTCAAAGAAATCTTGTTCTCTGGGGCTTTTTCTTGTGATTTCTTCACTCCCTGGGGGACCCCTTCTCCCTCTGCTGCTGAAACCCCATCTGTCATTTGGCTGGACCGCCACTCCCCCAGCATTCTTTCCCAGATCACTGTGTTAGAATGAATGTCTCCGGCCATGATATACTCAGCGTTTTCCCCTTTGGTGTTTCAGTGGCACATTTTTGCCCATCCCGTTTCCTCTGCCATCCCTTCACTGTAGGTTCCCCAGTGCCCACCCTGAGCCCACTTTTTTTTTCTGAGCAGTGCATCCTGGGTCTGTGTTGGTCTCCATCATACTCCTGATTTTAACAGTCACTTCCAGGCCACATCCTGCGTTGGTAATCCCACCATACATCTTTCCTTCAGTAGCTGTGGGCCTGCGACTGAACTTCTTACTGGAAATATATACTCAGACCTCACATCAAGGTGTCCAAAACGGAGCCACTGGCTGCCTCCTGAGCCTGCTGGCCCCTCCTATTCTAAGCTTCAACTGGTGAACCCATGTGAGCTAGAAACTGGCGAAAGACGTGTTCCTGCTTTCCTTCCTTCCAAATGCAATCATCATGGCCTCCTGTATATTCTGAATCCTGCTTCTTGTATCATTTGAGAAGTTTTCACATTCTCCAGCCACTATGGCCTGGGATTGGAAGCTTGTCACCTCTCACCTGTGGTACCCTCAGTGGTCTCTTAGCTTATCTCGCCACCTCTAGTTCCTCCTCTTCCTGAGTTCCCCATACAAATAGCCATGGCGCTCTGTCCAAAGCCCAAAACCTGGGCCTGTATCTCCTCTGCTTAAACTCCACTGATGGCTCCCCAGGGTCCCTGATATGGCACACACAACTGGCCCAGTATCTTTCTATCTTCATTCCCCACCCTACAGCAATGTCACTTCCAGTCTTGGAGTTTGACGGGTCTGTGTTATTTCCTCCACCTACACCATGCTCCTACATTCCTTCCCGCATCCTCACCTGACTTAATTCTACTCATCCCCAAGTCCACGCTCAGACGTCACCTGCCCTAGGAAGCCTTCCTTGAAACTCCTCTGCCTCTACCATCACCAAGCTGGGTTAGGAGACCCTCTGTTATTTCCATGGCACCCCAAGCACATGCATGCTCTTAAACTTATCACAGTGGACTTATGAGCACGTCTCTTCCACCAGATGGTGAGTCTTGGAAACCGAGTGTCTGCAGTCCCAGCACACAAGTCAGGGCTGGCACAGAATAGGTTCTTGGTAAGTGTAGGTTGCCCTGGATGATACCACTTGTATTATGGTTGCACTTATTGCCCTACCTATGTCTCCCCATTAGACTGGAAGCTTCCTTCTTCTCATCTTCCCGTGTACCACGTCCTGAAAACTACAGAGCTGTTCAAGAAATCCCTTAAAAAAAACTATCTGTGTTTAACATTTTCTAATAGTTTTAGTTATGATTGACCTATAATTTAGCATCCGGCTTTTTAGTATGACACACCAAAAACAAATAACTTTCGATATTGGATTGAATCGAATTTTAATGAAACAAGATTCTGTACCCTGCCCTCCAGGAGGAGATTTTTTTACACCCTTACTGACCACTGTGGGTGAAATAGGAAATTCTTTGTCACGACACTGTCTTGAATCATGACTGCTATGAGCAGGGATCACCATATTACCTTATTTAAATCTTCTTAATTCCAAGGGGTATGAGAATGTTGAGTCAGATTCTCATCTATCTGAGGCTTATTTATAAGAGGCAAAATAGATTACTAGAAAATAAATCTAGATCAGTATCTGGTCTAGGGTTACTATTTAACTAATGGAATCTGAACACCTTTCTACAGCAGTGGGGATGCAGAAACGGCCACCTTGACTCTGAGCATCATTTGTTCCAACCTCCCTGGGTTTTCTCTCTTTGTTTATACACGAAAGCACTTCACTTGTGGCTAGCTGTTGTTGACACTGGATTTGCAACATCTGTGATTTGGGAATGCCCTTCACAGAATCATGTTGGATCCTCTGTCTACAGTTTTTGCTCTATCTTCTAGATGAGTTCTTCATGTGGCCTGAGGTTTTTCTTTGGTGACTTAGGACCCACTGCCAAAAAGGCATTCACGGGAACCCCAGCTAAAGTTCGATAGTGTCCTCCATCCCACCCTTAAAGTCCAAATCCAGCTTCTCCACCTAAGTCCCTGACATTCCGACAGAAAGAGAGGATGCCTGGTCCTCTCAGAGATGCTTGCGCTTGAGTGACTATGACCAGGTTACTGTTGCAGGCAGTATGCTAGCTCACTCAGCCACACAGATAGTACCAGCAAACAAACTGAAGTCACAGAAGCACACTTATTCTGCCAATTTCTCTGGAGATTTGAAGGGCCTTTCTTGAATTGCAAAGCCCTCCAGAAAGTAAGATAGCGACTTTATGTAACTTCTTACCTTGAATTCCATTCCTGATTTAAGTTCAGCAGGCCTCAAGCACCATTATTTATGCCACCTTCCAATGCAAATAGTGCCTTATTGGCAAAGGGGACCAAAAGTCTCGCCAGCTCGGTTGTCTGAAGCTTACATAAGCTGCGGGGTCCTTGTGAGTGCACAGGTTGCACTGACGGAGAATAATGGGGATGGCTGGATGAACTTTCTGTATTTAAAAACTGTATGAGAGTTTGTTACCTATTTTGTCCCAGTCTGTGCTCCTCACCTTGGCTGCAAGGCCTTGTGACTAGAATGACAATGTACCAGAACCAGCAGGGAACTGAGGCAGCCTGTTCTGGGCCATGGGCATCACCAGAATGCCACTACTCTGAAGTTTTCTGGTTGAGGGTGTAAATTCTTTTTCCATTTTATTTCCCCCAATAGTTAGGACAGTGGGTTTAAGTGAGGTGACCAGGTGGCTGTTGGCGCCAACTTGGAGTTAGTATACTAGCAGTTATTATAGCAATTTTATGATAGTTAATAACAGATGGCATTTATTGACTGCTCACTAAGCACCAAGCACTGTGCTAAGGGCCTGACATACATTATCTGATTAATCATTTCACTGACATTATAAGGTAAATTCTATTATGCTCCTAAGGTGGCTCACACTTCCACTGGCAGCTGCAATTATCTTCACGCCACAGTCGCTTTCTCAGTGTGACCTTGCCATTGCCCCATCAAGAGGTTGAGTTAATTTCTCTCCCTGTTGAATCTAGGATAGTCTTGTGACTGCTTTGACCACTAGAATATGGTATAAGGGATGTTCAGAGACTTTCAAGCCCCAGTGTGAAGAGGTCTGCTAGCTTCTGTGCTCACTCAGGTGCCCTATCAGGAGTTTGAGTATGTCAGGCTGCCATGATAGGAGGAGGTCCAAGCTAGCTACATGGAGCGGTTACAGGGAGAGGGAAAAAGAGATGCATGTTGGAGTCCCCAGACATGTTAAGTGAAGAAGCCATTTTTGGGTGTTCCTGCCCTAGCAGAGACCACAAGAGACAGAGAAGAGTTATCCCCTGCTGAACTCTGCCTAAATCACAGAATGAGAGAACAAATGATTCTCTGTTGTCTTAAGCCACTAAGACAGTAACTAGATATAATAGCCAAAATAGATCCTCACTTTGTAAGTGGGAAAATTAAAGCTCTGCTCATTCACAGAGCTAGTGAGTAAGTAGAGCATCCACCATCAAGTCTACATCCTGACTCCCACAGCAGGGGTGATCTCTCCCACCTGCTACCTCCTCATATTTATATCAGCTCCTCCACTGAAGCTGCATTAACTCCTTGGAAGCCGGGACCATGTCTAATTCAGTTTTATATCCCCAAAGCACTTGGTATAGTTCCAGAACATAGCAAGTTATCAAAGTACGCTAACAGTAAGAAGCGTGTGCTCATGTGCATCCACACATTGGATCCTCCTAGAAACATTGAGAAGTGGGCTGGACTGTTGCTGTCATACCCATTTTGCAGAAGAGGAAACTGTGGTTCAGGGATTTGCTTATTTACCCAAGGGAAAAATGGAGGAGCTGAGCCCTTCTCACTCTATTACTCTTCATTTTCCTTCCCTCAGATCCCCTGATCCTTTTCTTATACATGCTTGTGCTGACCTACATCCTATCATGCACTTCATTGACTTCAGACCATTTCAGCTGCACAAGGATTACATGGATAGCCCTTTGATCTGCACCAACAAAGCTGTAGTTAGAACAGTGCAAATGGCCTCCTAGAGGGGATGTCTAAGAAGAGCTGTGTTTAACACCCAAATGGGACTTCCATCCATCCCAGAGATCAGAGGGTGGACTGCTTCATTGTTAATAAATTTTATTGATTATTTTAATCAATAATAATTAGTAATGAAAGAGACATGCTTGCAAATCACAGTGAGTTTGAGAGCTTACTAGATGTCTCAGGTTGGGTTCTCCAGAAACAGAGCCTGAGATGGGGATCCTGGAACTCGTAAATCATTAAGGAGTAATCTCAGGAAAACGGGGGGTGAGGAAAGCAGGATAGGTCAAAGGAAGGCACTAAGCAAGAATGTGGTCTCTGGAATCTGGCCACAGCCTGGTCCCATGGAGAGCTCTACAGCATGGAGCTAGCTTCACTTTAAAGGAAGAGAGCTGGGCTTTTAAAGCCCCGCCTCAGTCACTGGCCAAGGGCTGGGAGCCAGGGCCTAATCTTCTGGGCCAGATGTCCTCAGTGTGGGTAAGGGCATGTCTCAGGAGCAATGGGGCAGCTGAAAAGGGGCAGCTGCAGGTGTTAGCAGCCAACATTCACAGCAGCAGCCTGGTAAGAAGTATTTCCATGGAGCACTACAGTGTCTATTGCACCTGCTGTGATTCAGGATCTGATGATCCTTGGGAGTCAGAAGATGTTTCAGGCCTCAAAACTCATATGCTGTGAGATGGGAATCCCTTGCAAACTATGATCCATAATACTGGAATTTGACAGTAGAGACTTAAAATTAGCATAGGGACGCCAGGTATTTCCTTGGCCCACTTACCAGGGCGCGTAAGGATTCTGTCTCAGCCTGGAGGCTCTGGACTTGGCACGAAGTGTTGTGTAACTCCACCCTGAGGGCAGCTGCCAGCTTCTCCTCCTGGGTCTGGGACACAGTGGGTCACCTCCGCCTGTTGCTGTGGAGAGTCAGGTCTCAGTATGAGCAGAGATGATCAAGAGCTGAGCCTATCCTTCCTTTCCAGCCTTTTAAATCACTACTCACTGCCTCTAACTAGAGGAAACACAGCTGTCACATGGAAACATCTGTTTTGTTTTGTTTTGTTTTTTTTTTTTCTGAGATGGAGATCTTGCTCTATAACCCAGGCTGGAGTACAGTGGTGTGATCTCAACTCACTGCAACCGCCGCCTCCTGGTTCAAATGATTCTCCTGCCTCAGCCTCAGTAGCTGGGATTACAGGCGCCTGCCACCATGCTTGACTATTATTATTATTATTATTTTGAGATGGAGTTTTGCTCTTGTTGTTCAGGCTGGAGTGCAATGGTGCAATCTTGGCTCACCAGCAACCTCCGCCTCCTGGTTCAAATGATTCTCCTGACTCAGCCTTCCTAGTAGCTGGGATTACTAGCATGTGCCACCACGCCCAGTTAACTTTGTAATTTTAGTAGAGACAGAGTTTCTCCATGTTGGTCAGGCTGGTCTCGAACTCCTGACCTCAGGTGATCCACGTGCCTCGGTCCTCCCAAAGTGCTGGGTTTACAGGTATCAGCCACCACACTTGGCAGGAAGCTCTGTGTTTTTAACCTTCTCCCCAGAGCAAGATGGACAGGGTCTGATCCCTCCCCATATATTCAGGGGAGCAGGTCATTGTTACTCCTCTTTTCTGGGGAAAAGATGAACAATGAGAGATCATCCCCATTTTCTTCAGTGCATTCTGATGGAATGTCTCCTAGCCAAGAAGGTAGGAGGGAAAAAACTCTGCTTTCCTAGGTTACAGCTTTCTGGAATTACCATTTTGACCATATATGAATATTTATAGAATAATCCAAAGATAGTCCAGTCTAATGGACTGGCTAAGAAACCCCAACTCAAGGCTGGGTGCAGTGGCTCAGCACGTTGGGAGGCTGAGGTGGGTGGATCACCTAAGGTCAGAAGTTCAAGACCAGTCTGACTATCATGGTGAAAACCTGTCTCTACTAAAAATACAAAAATTAGCTAGGAGTGGTGGCATGCGCCTGTAGTCCCAGCTACCTAGGAGGCTGAGAGAGGAGAATTCTTGAACCCAGGAGGCAGAGGTTGCAGTGATCTGAGATTGTGCCACTGCACTCCAGCCTGGGTGACACAGTGAGACTCCATCTCAAAACACACACACACACACACACACACACACACACACACAACCCCAAGTCAAGAAGCTCGTAGCTCAGTAGTAGCACCTCCAATTCTTGCAGTTTGAAGTTTTTACAGAGTCCAAAAAATGACCATTAAAGGCTTTGGAGCAGCTGAAGGAGAACAGAAGCCTAGGGCCCAGCTCTGGTTAGCCAATGGCTTGTGTCCCTAGGCCATCCTTCAGCCTCTCAAAGTCTCTGTTTCTGCCCATGAAACGTAGACAATAATGAATGGAGACTGATACTCGTAATCATATAAAGACTCCTTCCTGTGGATTAAGCATGCTGAAACCTTTAGAATCTTCAAAAGCATGAAAACACTGGCTATATATATTTTCTATATGTAAAAAGTAATAGTAGCCAACAAATAACTTTTGTTATTTAATAAATAACAAAATGATAATAGTTGAATGCTACTACAAATAGTTAAATATTGAGTAACAGTTAAATAGTAATAGTTAAATACTACTACTGTACTAATAACTAATATGCAGTAGGCACTTATTCTGTGCCAAGCATCATGTTAACAGTTTTAATCCATTATCTCATTTAATCTTTACAATCCTGTGAAGGAGATTCCAATATTATCTTCGTAGCAAACTGAGGCACAGGAAGATTGAGTTATTTGCTCAAGATCATATGACCAGTGAGGGACAGAAGCAGGATTCAAGCCCAGTAGCAGACCCAGAAATGTGCTCTTAACTAGTACTTAATGCTGTCACCTCTACCAATCTATCAATTTAAGATCCCTAAAATTGGAGGTAACTTCCCCCAAACTCAGGTGGATAATTCCAAAATATACTCCTTATCCTTCCAAGTTCTTATGATCAGCACCCCAGTTTTTCTCCCCTCTTTGGGATTGGGGTCCTGGCCAGATGGACTGTGTAGGTGGGTAGGAGGCAGGAGGTGGGGCATCCTGGAAGGCAGGCACTGTAGCTACAGAGGGTGGCCGGGAGCAGCAGTGAGCTAGAACTGGCTCCTAACAGCTCACAGGAGCTGATTTTTAAATTTTCAGGGATTTTGTAAGCTGACTGCTAAAATACAGCCATCATTAGAAATTAAATTATATTGTTACAGTTAACTGTAACAATATAGGTAGCTAACAGATAACTAGTCAGACATGAACAGGGCAGGAGAGGCACACCCCACAACCAAGAATGTCAGGCGACCATCAGGCAATGGTCAGGCAGTTGTTAACTGTCTCTCTAAAATAACTGGTCACAGCTGGCAGGGTAAACCAGTCTCCCTAAAGACAGAAAAAGACTGAAACTGGTGATCAGCAGCTTCCCGATAACTCAGGAGCTGATCAAGTGAGCTCAAGCATGCACACTAGAGGCAAAATGGCAGAGTTAAAGTGGTATGTGACCTCCTAGGGACGTTCATCTGGGAAGGGCAGAATGCCTCAACTGAGCATGCGTACAATTCCAGAAAGCACACTGTGCATGCTCCAGCAGGGCACCGGGCATGCGGACAGCCCACCCCAAGGGAGGAATCAGGGGAGAAGGATCCCAGAAGCATGCCAGTATATAACACCCCAAGTCAAAAGGTCACACCGCGCCCTTGTCTTTCAAGTTGCCTGACTGGCCCTCTTCCAAGTGTACTTCCTTCCTTTTGTTTCTGCTCTAGAGTTTTTAAATACACTTTCACTCCTGCTCGAAAATTTGCTTCGGTCTCTTCTTCTGCTTTATGCCCCTCAGTCGAATTCTTTCTCCTGAGGAGGCAAGAACTGAGGTTGCTGCAGACCCCCTACAGGTTTGCCACTGGTAAGAAATAATGTGAGTGACTTTCTGCTTAATCAGAAATTAGTAATCAAGCATTTTTGTAGTCTCATTTTCTGATACTATTGTTGATGATAGAATTATGAAAAATGGTTGGTCAATTTTCCAAGAAATAAGTCATACTGAAGTTATAGGTGTAATTGAAATAGCAAAGTATTTTGTCTTAAAATTTGTGTTATTTCAAAAATAATACACATAAATTCAACAGAAATTGTTACATTACTCTTAAGCAGTACTGCGAATTTGATTGGCACATATATACATACACATACATTTTCCCCAGAAAGTAGTTATGAAATGTTTGCCATCACTCCATGGGGAAGAGCCAGTGAAGGAATGGAGGACAAGTTTCAAAGCCTTGGTGAGGAGGTCTAGTGTAAAGCTGCTGGCCAAGGCTACAGCCACAGTCCCGCGTGTGATTTATCCCCTCTCAACCGAGCGAGTGGCTTCCATGTTACTTACTGGTCTCCAGGCCGAAACACCATGTCTTAGTTTCCTTAGCAAAGATACTGTATCTAAGTGTTTCTCAAATGTTCTTGGACCACCGACGTGGTTTTTCATGCCATCTTAATAGTCATTCATGCTATTTTTATTTAAACCAGTTCACTCTTTCTTTACAAATAAATGTGTTTAAAATGGAAAGCGTAGGTTAGTTATCTGTAAACTGTAAGTTCGTTTAACGTGGAAACTGTAGACAGAATGTGCATCAGCAGCACCTGAGCATTTTTCATGCAGGAGATCCTGAGTGTGGCTCAGAAAGCTGCACTCCCAGGTGATGCCTGGTCCATGGAAGCAAAGTTCTAGATCACTACAGAAGCTAATAAAACAGTATCCCTTGCAGTGGATAGAAGATAACTAAAAAATTAATAAAGTTATAACAAACCACCATTATTAAATTCCAGCTACCATTGCCGGCCGAACTGCCAAGTCCTGAGGCCTGCTTTCTCTTTGTGGAAAGGGGAAATTAACAAATACAGTAGCGGTATTAAAAACCTTCCAGTACCCAGCAAAGGCTTTCTTCTAGTTTAAGACTGAAAGAGAAAAAGTAATTTGATCACTACATGTTTCAGCGTCACCGTATTCCTTCTCAAATCATCTTACCACAAGAGATACTTCCCACTTACTTGCCTAAAGTAACCACTACTAAAAGTAACTCACCTAAAAGTATTATGCGTTTTTATCCAATGGCTTTTTAGATTTATGCTTTCTGGTTATTGTAACTCTATTTCTGTTTCCATTTCAACCCAGTGCCTCCAGATTTCTTCTCATAGTAGGTGTATGATCTGGCCCCTGCGGATAGGAAGGTAGGACTATGTTTTGTCGCCCAGTGCAGGTGTGTGATGAAATTCAAATGTGTTGATCCCTAGGCTCTTAAACTGCGCGGGATCTGAGCTGCCCGTGCCTGTACTCCAGCTGCGTAGGAGTGCAGTTACTTCTGGGGCAGGAGAGCACATTGGCATTTTGAAACATAATAAAGATTTTCCAATTTCAAAAATTTCAAATTCTTTTCGCATGTTGTTGCACGTGAAGTATGTAAGAGGAGAAAAACAGTGTGTTCTGATTAAGTCATAATTAAGTATTTGAGGGCCTGACTCTTGAAGATACAAAAGAGGAGTGGGAAAGAGGAAAAGGACAATCTCCAAGTCCAAGCCTGACCCACTTTGGTGATTCGCACGGCCATTTCTAAAACACCCTTGGCAATGACCTAGAACTGAGAGAATTGCTACGTTGCAGTATGAGGGGAAGGTGAGTGTTTAGGAGGAGGGAGAGTGTGGAGAGAGAATGATGATACTTCCTGGTCTTTGAAATTGTGAGTGCATTCTCAGCAGATCCTGTATCTGGATGAGCTGTCTGCCTCACGTGTCTTCTGCCTTTTGCTCAGCAGTTGCTGTGCAGGTTTGAGCAAGTCACTTGAGCTCTCTGGTTTTTGCACCTGGTCATCAACTGCTTTACATGTGCATTGTTCTACCACAGAATACAGCTACCTGCCTTGGCTCTTCAGCACTTTTCAG